AATGCTTGAATTCCTTTCCCAATGGGACCCCAAGCTCTTTAGCCCCAAGAGAGCTTGAAAAACGAAGCAAAAAAACACAGAAAATAAACTCTCTCTCTGATAGCTGACCTCCAATGCCACACTGACATACACAGACCTCCTGTTATCTTCCAGGACACAAAAATCAAATCATCACCTTAAAAAGGGTGATTTTATTAACAAAACAAAAAGGTCTACTTGAGAAAGCATACTTGGTTGCTAGGTGTTACAGAGCAGAGGAGAACAGATCAAAAACACAAAGTTCTTTGGGCTGTAACTTAAATGGTGAATGGAAGAGGGAAGGCTTAGATTCATAAGGAGAAGTTTAACCGAACAACCAAAACAAAGAAAAATACCCTGATCACGACTAGATCCATATTTTCCCTCTATGCACAATCTGTGATAATCTGTACTTCAAGGCCCAGTTCACTCATGTCCAATATTTCTTATCGGCATGGTAATTCTGAGTACTGCATCTGCTCCCTCCAACCCGTACTTAGAATTCACAAAGGAAGAGCAGACCAGATATCTATATCCAATTCAAATTTTAGCACTATATCCCCACTGGTTCTTCTGATCCCTGCCAACACCCTTGCTAGTTACCTGCGTTTAACCCCTTAGTCACTAGGTGCTGGTCAGCACTCCTCCTATCTATCACAGTTTACAATCTAATCAGGCCCTGATCCTGCAAATACTATTGCACATGCCTAACTTTATGTGAGTATTCCTGTTGACTTCAGTAGGACTTCTGAAACATGCCCAGGATTTTTCAAGATTTTGCCTGGAGGAAATCAGACTAATCTTAATGGCCCCTCATGACTTTAAAATTTGATGAATTTCTGTGAAAATCAGAGTTTAAAGGCTCAATCGTATAGCCTCTGCTCATGGCAGTGGTCCAATTGTCTTCATTGGGACCACTCTGGTAAAGGCAGCAGGATCAGCCCCCAAATGCCTGCAGAGCAAAAGCTGTGCAAGAGCAAGCTTTGATGTATCTAGCATAGGTAATAGTAGCAGTGGATACAGCACTGCAGGGGCTTCAGCCATGGCTAGCATGAGCCCGGCACAGGCCTGACGTATGTATTTGGCTTGCTAAGGTGCTCTGATGCCCATGCTGCCCTGTTACCTAGGCTTGCTGTACTGAAGCTAGCTCAGGTAGGCTAACCTGTGCTGTGTGTAAACATAACCCCAAATTAGACAATATAAACAGCTAAATGGTGAGGCAAGGGATGCAATAGAAAAGCGAAACCTTTAAGTGACATCATCTGGCATACATCTTGTTGGCTTCACAATTTGTATTGATTTTTTTGGTTATTTGTGGGAGGAGGTTACTATTTTTAAATTTTGAGTTCACATTGGAATGTAAATGAAGACCCTCATACTGTAAAGATTTCAAAGTGCATAAAGTTAAGTATACATGTAACAGACCAATTGATGTAAATGGGATTAAAGTTTTCTACATTAATCTTAGAGGACCAGTAACTAATCAAATGGCATCTTTTGGACTGTTTGTTTTGTTTAAAATATTTTCATTTAAACTTTCTTTCATTGAGAAGAAATTTTGTACTCTCTTTTAACCTATGCCTACTCTATTGTATTATTAATAAGTAATTGTATTTCTATATTTGTGTGTGTGATGTGTGTGTGGAGAGGATTCTTTGTGATCGATGGTTATTCTGTGCTTCTTTTTAATCCTCTGTTTGTTAATTAATTAATAATCATTCTTGGCCCTTCCAGTTAGATGATCTTTTGGTTAAGGAAACAGGATTGTGTGTGTGGCAGGGGAACAGCATGTGATCCTACAATGAAAGCCTGACTCTTAAAGCATCCACATAAAGGTAAAGCATACAAATAGCACAGATGACCTTTAGTCTATCATTTTCCAAAATTTGGATGTTTGACTTTGTAATCATAATGATCTATAATAGTTTAAAAGGTATCCCAATTGGGACTGGGGTTCTATTGTTTTAGGTGCTATATGCAGAGGTAGACATGTTCCCTGTCCTAAAAACCTTATAGCCCAAGGGCCAGATCTGAAAAGTATTTTTGGTGCATAAAGATGCAGATAGGCACCTATGGGTTTTCAAAAGCATTCATGCAGGACAGCTACATTGAGTGTAATCTACAAAGGACTGTAGGCATCTAAATCCTGTTTTTAGGCTTCATTGGAAGACACAAAACTCCGGCTTGGCTGTTGCCTAACACTGTAACTACCTACATTCATCTGGCACCTAAGTTTTTGCATTTTTTTTCTTTCAATGGAGTTAGACACCTAACTTGCCTTGGGATTTTTGACTAGGGTTCAGGGGCGGCCCGTGACTATAGGCTGACTCGGCTGTCGCCTAGTGTGCCGCCTTCAACGGCGCCCAATGATGACGTCACAGTGTGCCCGGGGCGCCTGATGATTTCACCCCACTGACGGCTCTGCAGGTGGGGGCACCGATCGTGCGTTACGCCTGGGGTGCCAGCTGCCGCAGCCTGCCTCAGGCCACTCCTGCTAGGGTTGCCAGATGGTTTCAACAAAAATACCAGACACACTTGACATATCACAATCTACATTACATCTTATTTGGAAAATACCGGACATTCATATTTTCTCAATTTGTTTCCCGAATAGAAAGCTCAAATACTGGACTGTCCAGTTCAAAACCAGATACCTGGGAACCCTACTTTTGACTTCCCTCCCCCCTTTGCACCCCTAGATGCCTAGCTAGAACTGAAAATCTGGCTGGAGGGCCCAGCTCCTGCAGTCTCTTATACTGAGTTTAATTTACTCCCCCCTTCCCTAGGGCCTTGCTCCTGCAAGGGGAGCGGGGAGTGGGAGTGTTTGTGTGGGGGGGGCGGGGAAGAGGGTTTTCTGAATGTCAAGTGGGCTGCTGCAATGTAACCAATAGTGAGAAGTAAGGGGGCCACCAGACGGAGGGAGGCGGCCCCTGCACTAGGGCGCAGCCCCCGTGATTTCAAAGGTCGGTTCAGGGCGCTCGGTTGCGGAGTCAGGGACACCTGAGTGCGGCAGGATTGGGCCCGCCCGGGCCCTCCC